CCCCCCCCCCGCCCCCCGGTCGCTGGGCGTCTTTCTGCCCCTGCCCGCGGCATCCCCTTTCGGACCACAATCCGGGAGCCGTGCACCGCCAGGGTTTGGAAGAGCATCGCTTAATGACCCTGTGCTGCCAAAGCAGCAGCCTGCCTCTTGGGCGGAAGGAAGCCAGGCATTAGTGCCTAACAGTGGGACCTATCTTCTCTCTGGGCTCATGGCCACCAAGACATCGCTGGCAAACCCTTGGCTCCGGCAGAGGTTCCGTCTGGCAGGGAGCACAACAAGCTGTAGTGTTTTCATATTATTAAATTATTTATTTTTTAATCCAACGCTGAAGAGACCTGGAAGGCCGGGATGAATAAGGATGTGACCACAGGCAGGGAGGATGCTCGTGTACAGCAGGGTTGCAGGGCCCCTCCCTGCCCCCACCGCAGGGCATGGTTCAGCCCTACTCCCCTGAAGTCTGACGTCGAGAATGTGAGCTGGTGTCTGGGTGAAAGGAGAGAAAAGTGGGATAATTAGGAAATAGTGTGAAGTCGAGATGCTGTCAGCCACGTGGAGTAGTGAAGTGCTTAGTTTCCCCGAAATGAGTTGGTAGGACTTTGGGGCCCACGCTTGCAGGTCCTCAGTAAGGGTTCAGGGCCCCTGATGTCCCCTACTTCATCGCTTCTGCAAACATTGTTGAACTGCTAATCGCTCACAAGATCCAGTTTGGGCTGATGCTAGAAATCCCTGAGCCTTGTCCTGGGCAGCTCACCGTGAGCCTGGCATGGACAAGCTAGGTGTTAGCAAAGTGGAGAGAAGGAACAGCTGAGCCTGGCTCTGGGAGTTTTCCACCCTGGGGAGGGTGTAGAAATTGGGCCGCCAAGGGTTGGAGGTGTATGGGGAGGACATTCCAGGGGGAGGCAACAGTGGGGACAGAGCCGTGTTTGGGGGATGTTGAGTTGGGGCTGGGTGGAAAGGCAGATTTCTGGCCGTGAGGGGCCTGGAGTGATGCGCTGGGGAGTTTGAGTTTCATGTCTTTGGATGTGAGCATTTGAGGTTTGGGGAGAAGTGTGATTAAATCTGTGTTTCAGACAGATTAATAACAGTGGGGAAGGGGAGGGTCGATTTAGGGTCTGGAGATTCAGACTGCCTTGTGTAGAGAGCATTGTGGATGTGGGTATAGGACAGCGGCCAAGAGGGCAGGGAGGCTGAGGAGTTGACAGAGCTGGGGCCCCTTGCATGGTGGCCCCCTGTGGGGAGTAGTGAGAGGAACATTAGGCCACACTGGGACTAGCTGTGTGGATGTTGGGGTGCGAGGGGGAGGAGGAAAATGAGGTGATTTTCAGACTTGTAGAATTCCAGGTATTTGTGAGGTCCAGGTTGGAATCCCAGGAACAGCAGCCCGATGGGTGGAGGACAGAAGAGAGGCTGCTGTGTGGCTGAGTGTACATGCAATTTGTTGTCGTTAACGCAGAATTATTAAGGCTGATTCTGTCCTGGGGAAGTCCAGAGCTGAAGGTGCCGTGGGTGAGAGAGACTGGCTGTTGGTAACACTAAAACAAATGCAGCCAATGTGTCATTTTAAAACAACTCACATCTTTAGCTTGGAGTTTTAAATTCTTTTTTTGGTACTGGGAATTGAACTCAGGACCTTGTGATTGCAAGGCAGGTGAGGTGCCACTGAGCTAAATCCCGTGCCCTGGAGTTTTAAATTCTTTCTCTTCAGAAAGTGGCTAAGTCTCACACCTACTTGGCTGCATTTGGGACTAGTGGCTCTCCACTCACTGGTGCACAGCTGTGCCTGAAGATAATTGGCCCTCTAACCTAGTACTTCCTGCTGCTAACCAAGGAGGAGGTTTCTCTAACTATTTAGAAACTTTTGACATATCTCAGACCGGAATGGGAAATGCCAGACACAGTTGCGAATGGGGGTGGGGCAGCTGCTGTCAGACCTGGAGGATGCAGCAGCACCTAGCCCTTCAGCTCCAGCACAAGGCCACAGCCTGCAGGCTTTGGGAGTCTGAGGAGCCTGAGAGGAGAGACCTAAAAACAACAGCACCGGGGGATCAGAATTCACACCCCCCACCCCAGTGTCCAGAGAGAGCATCCAATCCTTTTATCCCCTGAGCCTTAAATATGAACAGATAACCAAGGTGGTGTGAAGAAAGCCCCTGCTGTGGAAGGGCCAGGTCAGGACCTGGAGGCGGCAGGGAGTGTGCAGGTGGGAAGCCCAGAAAGCAGAGTTGCTAACAGTGCCCAGAGAGGGGAGAGAAGGGCAGCAGGGTGTGCTGAAGAGGAGAGGACGTGGGGAGAGCCACATGACAGCTCCCAGACACAGAAATACGACAGCAGGAGTAAAAAGCCGGACTGCAGGGACAGATAAAGTGAGGAGCTCTCGCAGAAAGTGGAACAGAATCGCAAAAAGATGTCAAGTGAGAGAAAAAAGAAAAAGGATCAGATCAAGAGGTCAGCAGATGAACAATAAGAATTTTAGCAAAAAAGAATAAAGAAAAAGCACAAAGTCATCCATAGAATATCTTAGAACCCAAACTTTCTGGGTTGAAGGGCCACCTAGTGACTAGCAGGAAGGATGCAAACACAGGTGACCTCCCCTCTCCTGGGCTCCTCACTTCCCAACTTGGGTTTTAGAAGTGTAGATAGAGTTGGGTGTGGTGGCGCCTGCCTGTAATCCCAGCACTCGGGAGGTTGAGGCTGAGGGAGGATTGCTGCAAGTTCGAGGCCAGCCTATGCTGCATAGTGAGGCCCTGTCTCAAAAAAGCTGCTTGCCTATTCCAAGGCACACTATTATGAAATTTCAGAACTTGGACAGAAGACTGTGTGCAGCTTCTAGGGAAGAAAGAAAACAGACCATACGGTGATCACAGGCCAAGAAGCAGGAGAGCTTTGGGCTCTAGAAGCAGCAGCCCTGAACACTAGAATGTCAGAAAACCTTGCTTTTACTATTCTGAAGAGAAACACTGTCAACCATGAGCTCTGCACTCAAGCGCAGGAGGTAGCATGGGTGTCTCAGGCACGCGGAATCCCCCAGTGTGCCCTCCTGAGCCTTAAAGAGGTGACTGATGAACATGGGTGGCGAGCCTGGGAGGGGGCAGCCAGGCTCCGTGAGGCCAGCATTCCTGACCTGAGCCACTCGTGGGCTCTTTGGAGAGATTTTTTCGGGGGGGGGGGCGGAGGTGAAATTATAACTGGACACCTGAGACTCTGGAACATCTGCAGAGGAGAGGAGACAGTTGGCAGAGCTGGGGCTGGGCCAGTGATAAGTACATAGAAAACAAAGCGAACGAAGACACAGGCTGTTATTAGCTCCCTGGGAAATAAACTGTTGTGTGGGAAAAGAAAAATAAGGATAACATACTCCCAGGCTCAGCCGGGAATAGTTTTTCCCCCACACCGAGAATGTGTGTAAACACAGACTGCGGCTCTAATTGGAATCATGATATGTGGTGTGGGGACCTCGTGGGGAGGGACGGATGTGTTCTCACCCACTGTGATGGGAGGTGGGTCCCCAGATGGAAAAGCAAGGTGACAGCTCTGGAAGAGTCGCTGAGCGGTAGGGGTGCACTCAGGGACGCAGTGGCCGGGACGGGGGAGGCAGGGACCCGATGTGTTTCCTACTGAACTCTGAGGAGTGGTTTAGCCTCTCATGGGTGTGTCACGCACAGGGACAGAGTCTCCAGGAAGCCTCGAACTGGGAGAAGGGCCCCCCTGGTCGCCTGTTTCTGTTTGTGCAGGGTCTTCCTCTGCAGGAGTTCACTTGCTCTCACTTCCTCTCGTCATTCTTTGTTCTCTGCATCCTGTCTCCGGGCTGTGGTCACTTTTCAGAGATTCAGGGCTTTCTTTAGCCATTTCTGTTTCTTTTCAATTTTTTTTGGAAGGGTTTTTTTTCATTTACTTTTGAACTTTTCTATTGGCACATGTTTGCAATACATACTGATTACACGCATCATGGGAAGTTGGTGCGTGGACATGACACGTCTTAGTTCTTTCATCCCTTTTCCTCCTTTCCTTGTCCTTCCATGTCTTGCTCCTCTTCCCTTTTGCTAAAGATCTATCTGCCTGGTTCCTATTGTTGGTTTTTTACTTTGCTCTTTCTTTATCCTTTGGGTTTCTCCTATGAGAGAAACCATGCAATATCTAAATATGATCTCAAAGTGCATCCATTTTCCTACAGATGACTCAGATTTACCTTTAAGGCAGAGTAGCACTCCACAGTATATAAATACCACATTTTCTTTATCAATTCCTATCCGCTTCTTCTCGAGTCTCCAATGTATTAGACTACGTTTTCGAAGTAGTTACTAATAATCGTTTAGGTTTGGGCAGTGTTGGTTGCGATGTCACCTTTGTCTTTCTAATTGCATTGATTTGGGTCTTTACTTTTTCTTTTTTGGGGTAAGATTGGCTAAGGGTTTGTTTGTTTTGTGTATTCCTTCAAAGAACCAGCTCT